TATCAGTGCAGGTGTAAACAATTAACTGGGTGTTGTTTTGACAATTCAATGTTTGAAGTCAATTAAAATGGCTTCCGATAGAACTAGATCGTTATCAGGGCCAACAGGAACAAATTGAACCAAACATCAGGGCTCTCACACCCATTTTTGGTACTGGGGCCGGGGCCATTGAAATTGGGAAAAATGCGACGTTTCTATAAAAATTGGGAAATTTTTACCAGTCATAATTTAAACTTACATCATTGTCGTCTTGCTCTTAGTAGAAATATTTTTTCTACACTGACAACAGTACTGCAGGGGTCAAACTTAACTTTTTGACCACTGTAGTAAATATCAGCAGATTTATTTTTACTATCAAATTGTAATTTTGAACTTTTCCTAGCATTTTTTCTTCTTATAGTGATTCATATAAGATTTAAATAATTTATTTTAAAAAATAATAATAATTAACCTCTTGGAATCATTTAGGCCGTTTTATTACAGATGAAATCTGAACAGATACAGAGTAAATCAGTTGATTAATAAAAAAAAAATCATCTTTATAAATTTAAAATTAAATCATTAAATACACTGGGGATATATTTTTTGGAAAATTACATAACTTTCTTACTCAAGTTGTTTTAGAGATTGTAAATAATTTAATGGAATATCTAACGTTACATTGTATCTGATTGTATTTACCATAAAGAAAGGAGTGGAGGAAATTCGGATTAAAAAAAAAAACGATCGTTTTTGGAAGTAAATTACAGTGTATGACAGGTAGCGCTGCAAAATGGATAAGATTAAGGGGATTTATAAACTGTAGGAGCATGGTACCTACTTTTTTTTAATTGTTAGGGAATCTAAAAGCAAAATAGTGAATAAAATACCTGTAGGCCTAGTGCTTCTCATTCAGTCTTGGAAATCTGAATTTTTTACAAGACCTTTTTTTCTCACAAAAGGTGGCGAACACAGGTCGCTTTTAACTCGCAATTTTTTATTCTAATTCTCATTCAAAGAGTATTTTCCATTGATTTCGAGCCCTGACATCATAGATCTTCACATTCTGCGACATGTTGTGAATGAACAAGTACCTACTTTACTACATACGACTTTCGTTTTCATACTAAACTGGTTCCAGCATATTTAAAACAAACTACCAGTTCATAACACGAACGTCTTTCCTTCATATCTTAACAGTGCTTTTACGACTGTCAAAGATATGCTTTTTTTGTTACAGTAATAAATTTGAAGCAATCATAAATTGGGAATTTTTACCCTTAAATTTGGGAAAAAAGGTACCTTTTTCACGTTGGGAATGGGGCCGAATATCGGCCCCAATTATAGAGAATCGAGAGCCCTGAACATGTCTCTGATTGAACCAAGAAAAAGAGAAACGATATTTATGTACATATCTAGGAATCTTGGGGAAAAAACTTTCATTCTAGATAAAATAAAGTGATCAAAGACAGTGTTGGCCTAACTTCACATTTAAAACATATTACAGTAGTTAATTAGTTAAGAGAGAGGAAAAATAACTTCAAAACTGAAATTGGTATACTTTCAAATTTAGCAGAAACTGAAACATGTGAAAAGGCTTTAAAAAAAATGCACTCTTATATACTTCTGAATCAAGTCAATATTGAAATATGAAACCTTCAATTCTCATTTTTAACATGTAAATTAAATCAAATTATATATGAATTTTTTTGTCATAGTAAATTAAATCCTTTTTCAATAAAAGAATTCTCAATACACAAATACTTTTATAAAATTTAATCATGGTAATTATGTCGTGAATGTCGTTACGCGTTATGACCAGATTATTTACTTTCCAAATCTGGTCATGACCAGATTTTTACATGCTGGAGGTTGGCAAGTATGGCGGGAAGTATTCCAATATGGCGGTGATGAAAGATGGTGACTATTCTAATAAAGAAAAAAGTTATAAATAATTGTTTTTTCGAGGACATTAAACAACTCTTTTAACTAAAGAGCCACATTCTGATATTTGATGCACTAAATATAAGGCTTCAGAGACTAGATAAATGCTGCATATTGAAAATAATGGCGTTTGTTCAATACAAGAGGCCCATGGGCCACATCGCTCACCTGAGCACTAAGGGTAGGAAAAAGTAGAAAATGGCTTTTTATTGTAAATTTAAATCCAAAAGTAGTCCCATAACCAATCATGGATTTGCTATTTTTTTGAAAATGATTTTTAAAGAATTTTTCTATATATATCATTAAAAATTTTCGTTGGCCATTTTGGCCCCACCCTACCCATGGGGGTCATGATTTGAAAAAATTTGAATCGTAACTACTTGAGCATGCTTCCATATAAATATGATGAATTTTGGCTTTGCCATTCTTGAGAAGAAGATTTTTAAAGAATTTTCCTATATATTTCTATGTAAAACTTTGGTCGGCCATTTTGGCCCTGCCCTACCACCGGGGGTCATGATTTGAACAAAGTTGTATCTACACTACCTGAGCATGCTCCCATGAAAATATGATGAATTATGGTTTTGCCATTCTTGAGAAAAAGATTTTTAAAGAATTTTCCTATATATTTCTATGTAAAACTTTGGTCAGCCATTTTGGCCCCGCCCTACCCCCGGGGGCCATGAATTGAACAAATTTAAAACTACACTACCTGAGCATGCTTCTTTATAAATATGATGAATTATGGCTTTGTCATTCTTGAGAAGAAGATTTTTAAAGAATTTTCCTATATGTTTCTATGAAAAACTTTGGTCGGCCATTTTGGCCCCGCCCTACCCCCGGGGGTTATGATTTGAACAAACTTGAATCTACACTACCTGAGCGTGCTTCTTTATAAATATGATGAATTATGGCTTTGTCATTCTTGAGAAGAAGATTTTTAAAGAATTTTCCTATATATTTCTATGTAAAACTTTGGTTGGCCATTTTGGCCCCGCCCTACCCCCGGGGGTCATGATTTGAACAAACTTGAATCTATACTATCTGAGCATGCTTCCATATAAATATGATGAATTATGGCTTTGTCATTCTTGAGAAGAAGATTATTAAAGAATTTTCCTATATATTTCTATGTAAAACTTTGGTCGGCCATTTTGGCCCCGCCCTACCCCCGGGGGCCATGATTTGAACAAACTTGAATCTACACTACCTGAGCATGCTTCTATATAAATATGATGAATTATGGCTTTGTCATTGTTGAGAAGAAGATTTTTAAAGAATTTTCCTATATATTTCTATGTAAAACTTTGGTCGGCCATTTTGGCCCCGCCCTACCCCCGGGGGTCATGATTTGAACAAACTTGAATCTACACTACCTGAGCATGCTTCTTTATAAATATGATGAATTATGGCTTTGTCATTCTTGAGAAGAAGATTTTTAAAGAATTTTCCTATATATTTCTATGTAAAACTTTGGTCGGCCATTTTGGCCCCGCCCTACCCCCGGGGGTCATGATTTGAACAAACTTGAATCTACACTACCTGAGCATGCTTCTTTATAAATATGATGAATTATGGCTTTGTCATTCTTGAGAAGAAGATTTTTAAAGAATTTTCCTATATATTCCTATGTAAAACTTTGGTCGGCCATTTTGGCCCCGCCCTACCCCCGGGGGTCATGATTTGAACAAACTTGAATCTACACTACCTGAGGATGTTTCCCCATAAGTTTCATCTTTCCTGGCACAGTGGTTCTTGAGAAGAAGATTTTTAAAATATGCCACCAGATTTTCATTAATTCCCAATTATCTCCCCTTGAATGAGGGCGTGGCCCTTCATTTGAACAAACTTGAATCCCCTTCACCCAAGGATACTTTGTGGCAAGTTTGGTTGAAATTGGCCCAGTGGTTCTTGAGAAGAAGTCGAAAATGTGAAAAGTTTACAGACAGACAGACGGACAGACAGACGGACAAAATGTGATCAGAAAAGCTCACTTGAGATTTCAGCTCAGGTGAGCTAAAAAAATGAAAAGAATGTGTTAAATATTCCTTTTCTAAAATAAGTTTTGAATCATTTATTCAAACTTCAACATGTATGGTAAATTGTAGAGCAAACTGTAAAGACAGCTTAAATATTGGAAATATAAAGAGTATATATAAATACCAGAGTGTTTATCTTTCCATGTGTAAAAATATGGAAATTGTTCATTTCATTAAACTTTGAGGTATTAAAAATATAAATACTGCATTTTAAAGTAAGATAACCAAAGAATATAAATATGTTATAATTTCTTGGATTCTTTTATTAAGAAAAAAGATTTTAACAAATTTATTTGCATTTGTAATTTGGTTAATACATGTATGTTGTTCTGCATCTTTTTGACGCCATCTTGTACATGATTGAACTGTTCATTTGTTTTACCGAGGTAAACCGGATTGAAATTGAAACCAGTTTGAAAAACTAGTTTTAAACCTTAAACCAAAACCCGAACCAGTTTATGTGCAACAAATTCGCCCTGAGATATTCATAACATTTACATGTATCAATCTGGTTATAATTCAACAACAAAAATACTTATCTACTCACATGCACCATACAAAAAAAAATTTATAGCCCAATTCCTTTATCTTAAGCAAAACTTACGCTTTCATGTAATCCTTGATGTATAGCTGGTAACTTTTCTTGTCAAACTGTGTGGGTTTTAAATTACTGCCCAGGACGATGTTACAGCCTGACTCTGTGTTGGCCGCGTCGTCTACACCCTCGTCATCCCCGCCCTCAGCTGATGGGTTAGCTCCGATGTTGATGTCTCCTGCCCCTTTGCTGACTGTGACAATCTGGGAAGGACACAGATATCATTAATTTATACGCCATACACTTCTTGCAGATCAATTTAGTCCTTTCGCTGTCCAGATATATTTACAACAGAACTTTTATCATAAGGGTTACAAAATAATAATCAATTAATAACATGGATTCTTGTCCGTTTATCATTTTTCTTCAGAGTTTCAAATTCTTACAATTTTAAACATACAATATCTATCCATGCATTTTATATCAATAGTTTTCGAAACGCAAGAGTTAAGCAACAGTTGGCTGGTCAACATGCTCAAATTCCCTTAATTTTATTATCAATTTAAATATGTCATTTGGACAATCATGGTGTAAGAAAACCTTTTTTCCTGAAATAAAAAAAAGTTCATATCTGCTTTTTGCTAATACTTCCATGCAAAATTATCTCATATTGTCAAAAAAATTTCCATATTATAATAGTTCTACTATGCATGTTTGAATTTGGTTATACAAAAAGTACTCTATAGGTTCAACTTCACCTCCAACAAGGCAGCAAAGGAAACTAACTCGCAGTATAACTTCAAGTCAAAACAGCAAGGAAAAATAAATTCTTCCAATATGTTCTATTTCCACTCTGGAAGAGTTATACTTTTTATCTTGCAATTTTGTTAAAAAGTCAGAAAAAATTATCTGTTTAAAAATCTTGCAGGATTTCTGGGACAAACATAACATACACACGTAAAACAATATGTTGAATGTTGATAAACAAATCCTAACAAAATTAAGCAAATGAAATATTTTGTTGATGCAGACTTAATAAACATCAAGAGAAGGAAAGACAACATTATCAATTTATATGATCTATTGTTGATTATATGTATCAATTTATTGTATGCTATGGTACATCTGTATACAATATACATGCCTCTGAAATGTCATGTACATATATTATAAATGGTTGATAACTTTAAGATTATCGCTCTCTTACACATCTTTAAGTTCTTCTATTCTTTAAATGGAATGACAAATTAATATATAGTATTATTTATACATAGCATGTATCAACTTACTTTTCCTTCAACCTCATAAAAAAAGTCATCTTTTATCTTGAAGTCATAGGCATCTGTGAAAAGCTCATCTCCTACAAATACATCATATACGTCAGTTCTCTAAGTTGCGGCTAAAATGGTCACATTAGCGACCAAAACATTAATGTCTGTTTTCTTTTCTGTGATGTACAATATCAACGGTAGACAGTGGTTCTGGATTACATAAGAGAAAACAGACTATAGGAGCTCTTTTATGCGAGAAGATAAAAAATTATGTCACAAGAGACGCACTTTGAACAGATTTCACTGAACGTTTTTATGTTGGGATTTACATGCCTAGATGGTAAGCATAGAATGTAGAAATCATAGAGATGGAGAGTTGATTAAACCTAATGACTTAATTGAAGTGAATGGAAGTGTCGCCTTGGTGAATAATTCTTTGCTATAATCAGTAGGGTTGGATACCGTTAAGGATGAAATGGTATGATACCATACCGGTATTTTTTAAACGATACGGTATTTTTAACGGTACGGTACTATACCTTGATGAATGAGAATCCGGGTTTATTTTAATAACAAATGTGCTTTCAATTATCACTGCTTATAACCAACTTTCAATATTATAATCTAAAATGTGTTAAATAAATTCTATTTCTATAATTCAACCTTTTATTAAATGATCAACAAAACAAATTAATCTGAATCGCTATAAAATAAAAAATTAGATTACAAAAACCGCTGTCTAATTCTCTGCTAAATGACAGCTGATCGCTTCATCCGGTCGCCATTTTGCTTGGTAGCACTCAACGACGAAAAATGAGAAATAAAGAGAGATGACATCACAAATTCGCAACCTTTTGCCTTTTTAATTGACAATTTCTATCAGTTTCTATTAATAAAATTGAAACAAGATTAATGTAAATATTTTTTTAAAACACATTGGTTTCCCTCGAATATCGCCTGTAGAAAGGAATTATCTTACTTAGTACTGATTTCGTTAATTAGCCTACCCTTTCAATGCACGGAGAATTCCATTTTAGCGAGGCTGGAATCTTTTTAAAAAAATAATTTTAAATGTATATCCATGTTTTAAACATTAAGAAATACCGTTATCAGTACCAGTATTAAATGAAACGGTATTTTACCAGTATTTTTGAAGTAACTATTCGGTACGGTACTGGTACCGCGTACCGGTGTCCAACCCTAATAATCAGCGGAAGTTGGGGCTTAATTCCCAAAACATGAATTATGATTATTTGTCCCAAATTCTGTGGGTATCAAACCAAGTATCTAGCCCAGCAGAATCTTCACTGAAATTAAGGTGGAGGCAAACAGCATCCAAGTCATTAAATTACAAATTAAATCTAGTGCCAAGGACGTAATTATTCAGGTGAAAAAAGTGGAGGCCTGACTCCCCTGGCTTCCCACTCTTCTTTGTTCTACAGTCCTGTACAAATCTCCTGTTTCTATCATTTGATCTCACTGTATTTAAATATTGCACAATGAAAATGGGATAGGCTGATACTAGCAACACATGTAGATATGTAAATTTCAAAAAATTTATCAGAGTAATCAGGAAAAAGAAACTGAATTTTGGACTCTTTCCCTTCTTCTATCTTTAAAAGATATTCTGTCAGTCGATAATGCTTCATCACTTGCTCTGAATATGATTCACTTAGAGACGAAAATCTGATCGTTTTTTCCGACATTTCACATCGTTAATTGAAGCCTATTTAGAAGAACAATTGATATGATCACGTAGAAAAATTGTAAAAAAAAAAAAAATTATTACAATCTTATGCCTTTGGTACAAAAATATGTACTGTTTTGACAGTGTTGAATTTTTTCTTCGCAACCGGTATATCACTACAGGATAATTTCATTAAATTGATGGATTAATACGGTATGGAGATCATATACAGATTTCTAATGGATAGAATAGTAAATGGAAAGAATTTTCTACCTGTGATTAAGTCCTGAAATACAATCATTTTCGCGATGAACTATGATTTTTTGGCCACAAGTAAACAAATCTTGTGTATTCGCCAAGGAGGACCGGAAGAAAGGACAGATGATTTATCAACTCGATCGTAAATTGATTCGACTCTTCCAGTTATGAAATAGGTCCGTACACGTAACATACATGTATATTTCCAGGCGCGGACCCAGGAATTTTTTTCATAAGGGGGGGGTGGGGGGGTCCACTCCAGTGAAAAAAAATCCAACCCAGAAATTTGTTGACTAGCAAAAAAAAAAAAAAACTAAATAACAAAAACCGTTACCGTAGGAAGGGGGGGAGGGGGTTAACGTTGAATTCCAAATCTTCTTCATACCTACTCATATTTATGACTTTTCATACATACCTACTTAACCATATTCAAGTTTTTAAGGGACCTAGCTACGTTTTCTAGGGGGATCCAAGGTCACTTTTACTTGATTTAATATATAAATTTAGTAACTCTGCAAATTCCGGGGTGTTGGGGGCGGGTGGGGTCCCCCCCCCCCCGACCTCCTATAGATCCGTAAATGACTTGATATACATTTCATGGACATACGCATAATCTCAAGCTACGGTCCGGAGTCTGCGATATAATAGCTCTCTCCAGAATGGGAGTCGAGAGGATCGTATATTTTGGCCGTGGTTTGCGACGATGGGACATACGCAACGTAGTTTGAACATTATTGTCTACTTTCCTGGAAATGAAGAGTTCCAATACTTGAGGGGAGTGGATGCTACCCTTTTTTTTAATTCTTATATATATTACATCATACACACTTCTTTTGAAACAGTTTGGATAAACAAAACACAGAGTATACTATATATGCTTAGTAATTTTTGCATATTTACATTTTCTTTGAATTTTACAAGAATTATATTATCTCTTCAGAACCCCTGGTAATGCTTACCTTAATTTGACGGACGGAGAGACATTAAAGACTAATAGACAATACCAGCTAACAAGGGGTCCATTTTTCCATGTTTCTGGGTGTAGTTCGGTCGCGGGTGTGTGTGTGTGTGTTGGGCGTTCATTTGTTAAGCATATTATACTTTATATAATAAATTAAAAACTAATTTGCACGCATTTTAAATAAACAGAACGGTTCATAATGCTACCATTTAGATTTAAAAAAAAACTCAAATGGCGTTTAGTAAAATTATTTTAGAAATATCTCCTTTCATATAATTGTTATGATTAAAATTCATAATGAAAATTGATGATACCAAACACAGAAATAAAGCATTTAAAACGATAATTGTTTAGATAAAAATCAAATCGAGAGCAGAGTAAACACGGACCTCTAAAACATCCGAGCTGGGATCAGGTGTCAAGGGGGAATAAGCATCTCCAGTTGATTGAACATAACCATACAATATTTAATTCAGAAACGGCCCTGTAAGACATGTAAGAAGGAGGGCGGGGGGGGGGGTCATCACCTTACTAGGTAGAATAAATCATTGGAAAATGTGCCAAAATAGAAACAAGATTTTTATGCTTTATCACATGTAATTTCATTCCATATGTTGTTTATTTTATGTTTTTAAAAGACCTAACAAAATTAAGAACAGAGTCACTGCATGTATTAATCTCATGTAACATCTCTCGTATACGTTTTCCTCCTTTTTATTTCTCTCTGGTACAATTATATTAATACATATAAAACTAACTCTACAAATACGTATACATGTATACCTACCATTTGACAAGTAACATTTGACAGAAGTGCATGAAAGCAAAATAAAATGTAGATAAAATTTAAAGGAAGTAACATAAGAAGGCTAAGTACATTGCTGGGTAATCCTGTTCATCTTATAGGAGCTCCGGGTTTCATTTACAGTAAGACAAATGTCGTTAGTTAGAGGAACGGTGCATGATACCCTCAAACGTTTTCGTTTATTTTAACTAAACCTGGCTGATCAACAAAATATGAAGTTACTTTATATTGATTTTACGCACGATTGTCGTCTGCACAAAAAAATAATGCATAGGTCAGTTTTCCTTTTAATTTTTTCAAATGAATTTAAAGAATTTTATTGAAACCTTGTAAATTTTATCTTTTATTTATATTTACATGTACAGGTACATTGTATAGTTTAAAGTATCGTCGGATATACCCACGGGTGATAACTCGACCAAGACGAGATCACCCGTTTGTATACGTTGATGAATTTAATGCAAAAGTTTATTATTTGTGTTTTGTTTTGCTATTTTTTATTTTTTTTTTTACTGTTGTTCCTGTTGTGTTTGTTTATATTTCTTTACATGGTGTGCATATGTGGGTGTTTCTACGGACATATCCGACGGTCTTCCTGTTTTTCTTTCTATATTATTTTCATCTAAACAGAAGCCCCCGAGGTAAGATTTATTTTAAAACATTTTCTTTTTTTATATTTTAATCAATCTAATTAAAATTAGATGTTCCGAATCTACTACCTCTTCTCAAACACGTTTTAGAAGCGGTAGTGGGTTCGAAACATCTCAATGAATTTTAAGTAGATTTATTATTATAAGCTAGAAAATTTACTTGAATCTTTTGAACATAACAACTTTTGTTTTAAAAGATAAATTTACAAAATTACGATATCATTGCAAAAAAAAATTACAAATGATATATTTTTTAAAATCGCTTGAATCCAGTGTTCTTATGCGGTGTCCATTTCATGAGATGATATCGATGCCTTCAAATATCAAAGATAACCACTTGCATGGTTGTTACTGAACTTGTTTTAAGGGAAGTTTGAATATATCTAGGTAGATGTGCTAGAGCATTTAATATCTATATTTTTAATATAGAAATATGGTTTATGGATGATTATCTTCCTTCATACAGAGCAATGCTCCGAGCTATAAAGAATAACAGTTCATGTGATACACTCGCTTTACAAGAAAAATCAGTTTATGAAAAAGTACATACTAGATATTGTAAAACAGTTCTAGGACTCAATAAGACAGCATGCAATATTTCAACTTTGTGTGAACTAGGCAGACTTCCAGTTTCTTCTTTTATTAAAACTCAAGTCATGATGTACTTTGTACGGCTAAACTCTCAAAATGTAAACCCCTTGATTAAAGAATCATATAATATTAATATATCTATGCATGAAGAAGGATTTTACTCCTGGCATACCCTTGCAATGTCTATATTTGAAGAAAATAATTTAAATAGCAATGACTACAACAAAAAAGATGAAAAATTTGACAAAATTAGAAATTCAGTAAAAAAAAAAAGTTGAAGAAAATTGTACTAGATAATTATAAAGAAAAAACGATGGAAAAAATATCTAATTTACAGAAAATTCAAAACTATACTTGTACAGTAAAATAAAACACAGTGTCGATATGGAAGAGTATCTTACGCTTGAAAATAGTTTTAAGAATAGACAAATGCTAACTAAATTTCGAACAAGTGACCACTGCCTAATGATAGAAACTGGTAGACATAAGAAAATACCTAGAGAACAAAGATTATGTTCTTCATGTAATACTATTGATGATGAATCACATTTTTTTCTACAGTGTAGCTTGAATATACAAGCAAGGAATATACTTATAAAAGTTATGTTAGGTAATTGTTCTTCATTCTACCTCAAATCACCTACTCAGAAACTTGAATATATACTAAGTCCAAAACTTGAAGTTATACCGACTGTTTGCACTTTTATAAAACAATCATTAGAATTGAGAACTAAAAGGTCCACATCGGTGTAAAATTTAGGGAATAAATTTCTATATGGTTATTGTATATATAATTCATTGTTCTCATTGATTTTGTTTCTTTTTTGTATTGCTTGACCCATATGGGTGTAATATGCAATAAAGATTATTATTATATATTTCCATTTCTAATTTTTTTTCTCTATAATAACCCTTTGAAAGTAAGCGGAGTTGATTTCCTGATAATTATGCCGGAATGTAAATTAGGCAGGTCGATAGGTCAGCAGCTAAGGAGGCCTAATACGCATGCAAATCTCGTGCGCATTTGTCTTTGTGTCTGACGCTAAGGAGGCCAAATATGCATGTAAATCTCGTGCGGCTGCCCTTGTGTTTGACGTCAGTGTGCGAGGACTATTGAAATTGGTTTGGAAGTCCTCGTGTAATTTAAATCGATTAGTCTACATTCTTAATGTCTAAGTCTACAATTTTATTTCACAATGAAATGGAAATATAAGTAATCACTGTCTAGTTTTGAGAGTATGCCAGGGACATCAACAATAGTGGGAAACATGGGATAATTTAAGCATAACGGGCTTCGCCCGTTATGCAAATTATCCCATGTTTCCCACTATTGTTGATGCCCTGGCATACTCTCAAAACTAGACAGTGATTCCTTAAATATACATTGAAGAGTCATATGTCTATTTTATGTACATGTTTATATAGGTTCATGTATGTCTAAATGTTTTGTTTTGTTTTTTTTCCTTTTTCTGTCAACTATATTTTAGGCCTTTCTCTTGTAAATCTGTACTCTTTATGCTCATTTGGGCACTGAATTAGTAATAAAACATATCTTATATTTTTAATCAAACTTCACACAAAATATTCTCCACTATATATCCGACACAATGTGCCGTGTCCTGACAAAAATGAGAACAATACAAGATATCCATTTTTGCAGAATATAGTCGATTTGGTCGATATTCTGATTTCTAGAAGTGCTAGCTGCAGAACTGTAGCGTTATGGTTTTATATGTTATGGTCAAAGACTAAAATATATGTATAAAACCATGAACGCTGCATGCAGTTCTGCAGCTGAGAAGGTGCCAGAATGGATAGATTAATATATTTCGTCGTTCATTTTTTTCCCTTATTTATGATCCCCCTAAAATAGATAAATTAAATAAATAAATAAAAATGATTCTTTTCATTGAATGAGATGTGTTAAAAAAATCGATGAAACAATATTAAAAAAAAAAAGTCGCGACATTTTTATGTACGTATTATCTAAAATGTTCTTTGATTTTCGCTTTCAATTTTGATGTAAACATGGAAGCAGGTGACCTAGTACAGGTAAAAATCTTATAATTATGCCCAGCGCTTGTATAAATATTTTCAAAACGTTATGATATCTGTATTAAGGTACTTGTTTCAGTTTACATTTACCATGAGAACATGAAATATGCGATAGTGGACGAGTGGTGCATTAATTATGATTAATTAATGCACCATCGCGCACATAAATAATTCCCTTAATGGTTAGCCTGAACTGTGCCATTTAGAATAATATACTGCAATGAATAATGTTTACATTCACAAAGAAAGAAAGAACAAGCAAATTCACAGAATCGTGGTCCCCCGCTTTCGGTATCTTTGTGGATGAGATGTCAGAGAATTTTTTTTATGATATATTGTGTCAAATATTCATGAACGTCCTTTCATATGTCATTTAAAAATTATCACTGAAATTGCTTTTTTTAAAATAAAGTCAATCGTGAAGGTCAAGGGTCGGAAATCATAGCATGCTTGGAAATGTTTTGTCACAGGTAATGTACATGTCAAATATGAAAGAACTTAGTCTATCTCTTCTCAACATAGGGAACAAGATGATCCTGTATGGCATTATGGCAACATAGCAAAGATTAAACTTTTCTTAAGTGCAAATTAAATATATTATTACCCAAAGTAGGGTCTTCTTACAAGAAATGCGATTGTGAAATACAGAATCCCTAGCACTACCTGAACAAAAGTTATGGCCAAGGATAAATTTTTGAAAGGTAGTTCAAAATCCAAGGTCAAAGGTTATAATTAATATATTAAGTTGATGGTTTCTTAAGAAAGGTCTTGTCACAAGTAATACATAAGTGAAGGATGAAAACCCTAACCCCAACCGTTCAAAAGTTATGGCCAAGGTAAAGTTTTTTTAAAAGAAGGTCAAAATCCAAGGTCAAAGTCATTCTTGATATCCAATGAAAGGTCCTGTCACATGGATTATATCTGTGAAATATTAAAGCCTTACCCTTAACCCCTCAAAAGTTATGGTTAAGGTTCGTTTTTTTTAAAGTAGGTTAAACTCCAAGGTCAAGGTCAAAGGATCAAAGTTCTTGGTATCTAATGAAAGGTCTTCTCACAAGAATTACTAGTGATGAAACGATTGTCGCCGACGATCAATTGTCGATCATTTTTGGGTGTTCGATTCCGATTATCGATTACGTTTTTCATAATGGATTGTCGCCCAAATAAACTCGCCCAAATAAACTTGTATGATTTGAATGAAACTAATACATACACATTAACAATACATGTTAAACGAAAGGAGTAAATCAAAAATGGCGTTCCAAGGCGAAGTTAACAACAATCAAGTAGAAATTTACCCATATCCAGGGAATGCATAGATAGAACATTCTATCATTAAAATGATATTTTCCTATGGACCCGGTTTAACGGAATTCATTCCATGTATTCGTAATGTAGCAAAAGAAACACGGGCAATAAATCATACTCAGTGCATTTACTACGGACAATCTAGAGAGTTACGAATGGAAACATGGCAGGTAAATTTGAAGCGAGAGAAAAACATTGAGAATTAATTGGATTTTCGTCTTTATATGGATTATTTTGTGGGATAAAATGCATATTAAGCAATCTCTAAAAGGATTGTTTTGATTAATTTGGAAGTTATTTCCAGTGCAAATCCTTAATATTCTTCAAAATAGTATCAGAGTGTATCCGCTCCAATTTGCTACATTGCAAGTATATGGGACGTATTCTAACTGTGATGAGGGCTTGTACCGAGACACAGTAAGATTATTCTAACTAGGGAACGCAAAATCTGATGACATGACAAACATTTTTAGTTTTATGGGCAAATATGTAAAAAAAAATTTGTTTGTTTGTTACTTATACAACAAAAAAGTTTTCTTTAGAATAAACTTGAGAAAATTTGATTTTTAGTGTGTTCCATAAATGATAAATGCTATAAAGAAATAGAATTTTGTATTTAAAATTTGAATTACCAATTAAGTTGATGATTGATCGATTAAGATTCCCCGATTTTGACTGATTATCGATTATGAAATTTTCTCGATTATTCAGCACTAAGAATTACATAATTATGTGAAGTATGAAAGCCCTAGCCCTTACCAATCAAAACTTATGGCCAAGGTTAAAGTCTTTTATAAATACGAAAATCTCCAAGGTCAAGGCCAAAAGGTCAAAGTTGTTAGTATCAAATGTAAGGTCTTGCCAGAAAAAATACCTATGTGAAATATAAAAGTCCTAGTATCTACCGTTCAAAAGTTGTGGCCAAGGTTAACTTTTTTAATAAGTAGGTCAAACTCCAAGTCAAGGTCTAAGGGTCAAAGTTCTTGATATCCAATGAAAGGTCCAGCCACAAGGATTAAATATGTGAGATATGAAAG